GGCAATTTCGGATTCATTAGAGCTGTTCTCTAAAAGTTTGCTAAAATATCCACTCTTACTTTTAGATCCCCTTCCTACCAGTCGCCTCCGTCAATCTTTTACGAATTCCCTTCGTCACAGCCCGTCGTGGTTCCACGCTGCGCTTCTGCCAATCCCGACTCTGCTCGTTCCAGCTCACACCATGCGTCCGGGGGCAGCAGCATAAGTAACAGTTTCATTGGTGGTACCACTTTTGGAGAGGCCTCGCCAACCTGCCACTCTCATCAGGCGTGCTTCGGCCCTCCTCCTGGAGACATTCGTTTTATGCATTCACCTCCAGGCCAGTCCCACCAGCTTGGAAACTACCGACTGCAACAACCTGCAGCCGGTGGCCACGAGACTTGCAACCTGTCTGCACCTACCTCACCGCGTTCTGGCTATCGCTCCAGCTTCGGCCTCGGCCAACCCACTGCTCCTGTCCCCCGGATGGCGAATTTCCACACTTCAGCTGCCGGTGGCCCCCATCTGGCCTCTGTTTCGAGCTCACGCACACGCGATCAAACTGTTGTCAAAGAGGAGCAACTTCCTCGCAGAAAATTGGTACAGGGCTGGCATAGCACTGATTACCGTTTTCCTCCCTTCTCAGCCAATCATAGCAGCTCTTCTGCTGCTGCCATCACTACCGCTACTACCAATACTACTTCATTCCAAAGCAGTAGTGTTGAAGCTACGGCCACGGCATCTAGTAGCATCGCTTCGCCAGCCGTGTCTAATTTTGTGGTGATCGAGGAGAGCATGAAAGCGTGTCCGATTGATGGTGATCAGGAGGTCAGGACAGGAATTTTCCCGATTCATACAGCCGGGGAAACTATCTGTATATCGCAGTTGGTGAGATTAAGAATCTATTTGATGTTTTATTTTTCTCCTTACTTTGAAACTCAATGTGCCTTTCTACTCGATTCACTTTGTGTCATAATTAGTAACAATCCGAACAAGGGCATAAGATGATAAAGTACTGATAATTTAATTCTCCCAGTCATATGAGTAGGCCTCACGTTTCAATTGAAATCAACTTAGCCTTCTTTCCAATAACCTATTCTTATCCATAGCGGACCACATTTCTTATTCAGTATTTATCAATAGTCCCATCTTTTAATCAGTATTTCGGTTTCCGATGAAGCTAACCGTTCGTTGAAGTAAAACGCGCACTGACATGAAGTCCATATTCATCATTAATATTTATATGCAACAACCTCGTGAAAGATAGGAAGAAAAGTTGGGTTTCGAAGAGTTCCTTACTACTCTATTGTTATCTGACTTTCCATTTAAAAGGAAAGGTTGGCTAGAAGAAATTCATGGTGTAGTCTCACCAAAAACCGCAAGAGGATTGCCGCGTAAG